TCCATCACTGAGGATTCTTCTCAGTTCTCTGAACGTCCACCACAGCATCGGTCAGGTTCTGGGCTCTGATTGGACCGCTGTGTCTCTTCTTTCCGACCCGTTCTGTTGTAGATCAGCTGCTGTGTTTGGGATCATGGTCCAGGTTGGTCCAAGCTGTATTTGACTCCAGAACCATTTGGTCTACAGAGGAGTTCCTGGTCCACTTAGTGACTGACAGGAGCCCAAACCATCAGCCCTCCACCACCGTGCTGACAGCTGGGAGGAGCTGTTTGCTGCAAAGCATTCTGGGTAAACATCTCTCCTCTGCTCTGGTTCTGTCCCAGAAGTCTTGTGGTTCCTTTAGAAGAGGAAACTTCCCAAACCTAAGCCGTTCTGCCATGTTGTTATCAGAGAGAAGAGTTCATGACCTTTGACCTTTAACCTGCTGACTGAGGCCTGCAGAATCTGAGGTGGAGCTCCTTTCTCTGAGCACTGCAGGGTCTGACCTTCAGGGTGAATCTTCTGCCACACTGGTAGATTGACAGCTGCCTTGAATGTTTTCCTCTCGTGAATAATCCATTTTGGATGACCTTTGACCTTTCCCAGGTCGATGAGCAGCAACATTTGCTTCTCTGAGGTCATTGCTGATATCTTTCCATCTTGGCGTTGTGCTAACACACTTCTGTACGCTCCAGATCAGAGGAGGTCCCACCGATGACGATCAGCAGCTCCTGGCTGATCCTGAACCTCAGAGATCTTGTGGAACGCGTCGAGATAGAACCAGTTTTTCACTCACAGCTTCAACCTTTTATTTGTTTTTTTGTCCCGATAAATAAAACCCTGAAACTAAAAGTTGTTTTTCTCCGACTGTAATTATCAGTTATGAGGTGTTTCTTACAGCAGATGTAACGAGCTGGACCACATCCTGGTGGAAAAGCCCCTGAAGGAGCTTTAAACAGAACGAGCTACTGAACATCCAGGTTCTTCTGGGTTCTTTAATCTGGTTGTTTTCACGTTTAAAAGCCCTAAACCAGGAGCAGAACAACAGTCCACCCTTTCATCTGGAGCAGGAGGTATCTACAACTCTCAGAGGGAACTCTGGATCGTCTGGACACAACATCTAAAAGTCATTTTCAATTCTGATTTTGGATTTGCCCCATCCTGGACCAGCACTCCGTCCTGCTGCCAAGATGGGACAGGATTCTTCCTTCGAACTCGCTTCATGTGAGACACACAAAAATGTAAATTAAATCTGAAATTAAAAGTATTTTTCTAGTATCCTGATGCATGCTCAATAATCCAGGTAGAAAAATCTAAAAAAGTTAAATCTGGTCCTCTGGACATACTTCTAGTACTCTTAGATTAAAACTATATTCTTTAATGGGTAAAAAAAAAAACTCTTGAACAGAACTGGGTACATCACTGATGGAAAAAATGCAAGAAAATTAAGTAGAAATACACAATGCAGTCCCTATATACTTTGTACTAAACAGGATACTTACTCGGTACGTACTGCGTAGATACTGGGTACACCTGGTAAGCATCTTGTAAATACCAGGTACGTATAACAAAATTACCAAAATCACCCTGTAAATAAAGTACATACTCAATATGACTTGCAAGTACCCAGAACGTACCCTGACTACGTGTACACGCGACAAGACTTGATTGATCGACACAGCTTCAACTGGAAAAAGACGACGACAAGTGAAGCACACTGTCATTTTAGCGGTTTAGCGTTAGCTTCTGCTATTTTTTTTTACCAGTTTAGTTTTAGTGAAGCTAAAAAAATTGTTAGCAGAATATGGGTTAGCGAGGCTAACTTTTTAGTTAGCTGTGCCCACTACCGCCAGTAAGTATCTATTATGTGCCCAGTAAATATCCTTTATGTACCCAGCAAGTATCCATTATGTACCCAGTAGGTACCCTTTATGTACCCAGAAAGTATCCATTATGTACCCAGTAAGTATCTTTATTTACACAGTAAGTATCCTTTATGTACCCAGAAAGTATCCTTTATGTACCCAGAAAGTATATTTTATGTACCCAGTAAGTATCCTTTATGTACCCAGAAAGTATCCTTTATGTACCCAGTAAGTATCCTTTATGTACCCAGAAAGTATCCATTATGTACCCAGTAAGTATCTTTATTTACACAGTAAATATCCTTTATGTACCCAGCAATTATCCTTTATGTACCCAGCAAGTATCCATTATGTACCCAGTAGGTACCCTTTATGTGCCCAGTAAAAATCCCATTATGTACCCAGTAAGTATCCTTTATGTACCCAGAAAGTATCCATTATGTACCCAG